CGTGTCTCTCAGAAACAAAAAAAAACAGATTTTCTGGTTTTTTTCGCGAGAGTCACGGTTTTGCTTTCGCTAGAGTCACGGTTGTGCTTTCGCCACAGTCGTACCTCTTCGGAAACGGAAAAAAACGTGTTTCCTTTTTCTTTTCCTTCCGCGAGAGTCACGGTTTTGCTTCTGCGAGAGGCACGGTTGTGATTTCGTGAGAGGCACAGGCATGCCTCTTTCGAAAAGGAAAAAACATCGTGCTTTCGGTTCGGTTTTTTCGTCCGGTTTTTTCGTGAAAAAAAGTTCGTCAAAACCTATCAACATGGAATCTACTTTTGAAGACCTCGACACGAGGAATTCAACGACGAAAGCGGTTCGAAATTTGAACGCACGGTTTAAGAGATAAAACGTTTTGAATAAACGGATCTACGAAAAAAGGGAAACTTCCAGGTTGCGATAACTGGCGGACATGCAGCGCGCCACTTGTCGCAACCTGGGGAGGTTGGATTGACCTTTGCAACTGTATAAGTGGATGCTCTAGCCAATGCAACCAAAAGACCGATCTGGTGGTAGAGGCTAGGCAGCACATTATACGTCAACACTCCCCCTCACGTGTGGCTCCCTCAGGCCTAAACGTGGACCGAAAGTGGGCTGCAATTTTAATTGCGTCAGCCGGGTCTTGAACTCAAGACCTCTTGGCTATGATACTATGTAGAAGTGCATGCTCTAGCCAATGCAACCAAAGACCGATCTGGTGATAAAGGCTAGGCAGCACATTATACGTCAACAGCAACGAATACTTCTCAACTAGTGGACGAATCGATCCCGGTTCCTTTGATCGCTCTTCCATATACCCATTTCGACGAATGGATGTTTTTTCTGCAATGTGGTGTGGAGACTGACTTGAAAATTCTGGTGCCCGGCAGAACCATTGATTCTTGAGAATGATTCAGCCCACAAAGCAATTTTAGTACTATACCAAACATGAAAGTGTAAAACATGAACCACCTCGCACAACAAACTCACCATACCTACTCCGAGCCGCGAGTTCTAAAAAAAGAAAAAAAAACTCCACGCCGCGGAAAATGTTTTACAAAACACACAGACAGTACAGTTGGGAGCTAGTTAGGATGTTCGAACACTTTACCATTAAACTACTCATCACGCATATTTCCCTGCTTAACAGCTTATACTCGTACTTCTAACAACACCGACCCCGCCCTTAAAAGGCCATCTAACCCCTGTAATTAACCTCCACAAAGGACGTGCAGAAGCACAAAAATAATCTTTATACCATGGGCATGGCCACCGCTGCCACCGCGACGACGGCCGCTCCGGACAAGCTCCGGCAGCCGTGCAGGCCGAGGCCGGCGGCGCAGATTCCCTCCTCCAAGAACCGCGTGCCCAAGGCGCCCGTGGTGATCGCGCACGAGTGCCCCAGCGCGATGCGCGCCCACGTCCTGGAGGTGCCCGCCGGGCGCGACGTCCTGTCGTGCGTCGCGGCGTTCGCGCGGCGGGGGCGCTGCGGCGCGCTGGTGCTGGGCGCGGCCGGGCACGTCGCGGACGTCGTGCTCAGGGAGCCGGCGCTGGTGCTCCGGGGCACGACGGAGATCCTGAGCCTGGCGGGGTGCTTCTTCCCGTCTCCCTCTGCGTCAGCCGCGGGCGTCGCGGTGTTCCTGGCCGGGCCGCGAGGCAGCGTGCTGGGCGGCGCCGTTGCGGACGGAGGGCTCGTGGCCGCCGGTCCGGTGGTGGTGATGGTGGCCACGTTTGTCGCGGCTGCGATCGACCGGTTGCCGCTGGTGAAGGGGGACGAATCCTCCAAGGCGGAGGGGAGCGACGTGCACGGCGTGGCCGGACAGTGGCGGTTCGGCGGCCAGCCGCTGCAGCAACAGTGCGGATGGGCGCCGCTGTGTCGGAAGCTGGGCGCGAAGAGCTGAACCATATGCACCGAGTGGAGAATATAGATTGGGCCGAGACACTGTGCGTTGGCAAGCAGGCCGAAGTGGAGTTTTGGTCCAAACATGTTCTGCTTTTATCTTTTTTACGTGAGCTTTTATATTCTTTGGCTGCCAGACACCAGAAACTTTTCGTGATGATACAGCATACAGTATTAAATAACTAGCCTAAAAAAACTTCTTATATTTTGAGACCGAGATAGTAGGAGTAACATATAAGGTGCAAGCGTGCAAGGAAGTTGCAGAACATCCTAGAGCATTTTGATATCTAGATCCATGAATGCCCCTACCATTGTCTTCATCCAAATGTTTTTTCATTTATAAAATTCATCAAGAAAAAAAATGAAAAAAATGCAATGTGATCCTAGTACTCTCCTACTTTTGCGAGGAATTTCAATGCATCAGAAGTGCCAGCATCAGTTACCTTACCCAGCAAAGTTCCCTTCTAACTTGTTTTCAGTACCTTCTCTTTCGCTCACACCTAAACATCTTCCGATCAGCAAAAATGCAGCTTTCACCAAACAGCTCTAAAAGAAGACGTTTTGGCTCTCCAACTATCAAACTGACACATGCTCAAGGTCGCTGAAGATGTCGCAACAAGATCAGGTACCACAACTCACAACGTTGCACAGAAAAATAAAGATACATATATAATACTCCATCCGCCCCGATTTACTTGTCTTAAATTTGTCTAGATAGATATGTATGTACTAACGCTAGCAGCCAAATCTAAGACAAGTAATCTGAGACGGAGGTAATATACACCTGCACAATCTACACACACGCTAGCAGCCAAAGCCCAAAGGCTATTATTGAGTTGACTGATCATGTCAGTTCTGGAACAAACAACATTAATCTGATGAAGAGAATGTCATGCAGATAATACAACTCCCACGTCAGGACTCCTACTACAATGGCACCACCAGCAGGCATACACCCTACTAGAGCTAATAAAACAGCCCAGGGTTCATCAACCCCTCCTGCGCTTGCCGGGCACCTCCATCTGCTGGAAGATGAACCTCAGCACCTCTTTCATCGTCGCCTTACGGTTTTTCCTGAAATTCCACAGCTCTGACACCACGTACCTTCCGCTCGGGTTGTACTCGTTTACTTCGCTCAGAGCGGTCTTCACTGCATTGCACACATCGTCACCATATTCGATCCACAATTGCTTCAGTCTTGGGTCCTCATCATTTACAACTTCCTGCATTACCCGAGGATTGTTATGAAAAAACAGTAGCCTCTAACAATACAAAGGGGTTGAATGTAGATAAATTTAGTAGATACCTTGTCACTTCCGTCTTCAGCCTTAACAAACTTATAAGGATGCCAGGCTGGCTTCTTTATCTCCTCCTGCCAACTCGAGACCAGCTCTGCTGCCCTCGTCTCATAATCATCATTTCCATATTTCCTCTTGCATGCATTCTGAAAAGGTCTTTCATCAAGTTCGCCCATCCTTTTGATACCGATAGCTGTTCGCCCACTGAGTATGTCCTCCAAACCCTGCTCATGGTGACAGTAACTATTCAATGAAAGAAAGCCAATTCATCAACTAATTTAAAATTCATTAGGTGCAAGGAAATTTCCAAACGCGGCAGAGAAAGGAGCAGTACCATTATCAATTCTTTTCGGGCCTCCTGTAACTCATCATTACTTTCACGCTCTTTCCTCACCAGCTCTCCGCTCAGCTCTTCCAGGCGTTTCCTTTCATGCTCTAGCTTTTCACTAAGCTTCTCCATCTTGTCATGAATATCCCCATCATCGTCTCCTTCCAAATGTTTCATCACTTGGAGTGTGCCATTCAATCGCGTCACTTCGAGCTCAAGTTCTCGTTTCTCATGCAGCTCCTTTTCCAGCTCAAGCATTCTTGCGAGGGCATCCTCCTTTTCCCTCTGTTGTTCCCACGATTAGTTCTCATCTCCAGGGTCGAGCACCGATCTAGGAAATAACATAAGTAAAGAAAGGTAGCAAACCTTCTGGTCCTCGACTAGCTTCAAAATATCTTGATCATTCCTCTGCTGCTCTATACTTGCCAGCTCAAGTTCACTTTTATCGTCTTTTGCCTGTAGAAGGGGGATCAAGATAGGAATATATCTTAAATTACAGTATGCACTTGTGCAATCATATCATATATTCCACGTTTAGAAGTGTTCAATACCTTGAAAGTGGCAACTGTAGCTTTATGGGAAACTAGAAAATTATTCAGCGTTACTCTTATGTTGTAGAAAGAAATGAGCCACTATTTAAGCTGCCCATAAACTAAAAGCTAAACAATACCATATAATTTAGACAAACAAGTAACAGATACCGTGTCAAAAAGAAATTATTGTCATGTTATATATCCCTCTAAATGACTTGGTGCAAATTTAACATAAAATGAAGAATGCAGCAGGTAACAATCTTGATTTCATTTTGAAGTTAGCAACTCAAAAATAATAAACAGCAGTTGATATCCTGAAAATTCATAGTAGTGTATCATTTTGAAGTTAGCCACTAAAATTGTATAAAAAAAGTCGATGTCCTGAATATTCCTAATATGTATCGTAGGCATGATAGGAGACACTATATTCGCATAGCTTAGTACCTCACACAGACAGTTCTTTAGTTTACCTTTTGCTTCTCATCAGAAAGTTCTGCAAGTTTTTTCCTGTCGTTGGCATTCTCAATTGACAACTTCTCCAGCTGCTTAGCACGCAAAATCATTTCTCTCTTGTTATTTTCTATTTCAAGCTTCAAATTTTCATTGTCCTGGAAAATCCTCAGAGCATTGTCACGAGCCTTGCGATGCAGCTTGCGCATTTCTGAAGGGGAAAACGTAAAACTCATTACGATGCTGCATATTGGTGTGTGGTAGAGCAACACTACTTTAATTATTTTGCAATGGCAAAAAAAACTATGCATTGAAAAACGTAACCAACATTATCTCATAGTATTCAATGTTAAAGCAGACAAGAGACAAACGAAGAAATTACATGCATAATGAAAGGCCAACAAAAGTCCTGGTTCTGCACTCCTGCTACCTGTCTAATCAACAAAGAGCACTATTTCTCCAAATACTGCATTCATAAATAGATAGACCCACAAGAGTTGATCATTCAGGGATCTTAACATTCAGTTGGAAATGATTTTTTTAGCAAATAGTTTAAGATAGAAATACAAGGTTCCGACTGAATCACTCGGTCTCATCAAGTTTCAGTAACATTAGTAGCCAAGTGACACATGGGTAAATGATCTTCTGCACCATCAGGCAGAGGCACACGACCAGAAACCACGTAAAGAAAGGTACATCTACAGAAAATAAAGCAGCACAGTGTACCTTCATTATATGCCTCATGCAGCCTCCTATTGTCCTCCTCAAGCCTTGCAATGGAGAATTCTGTTGCATTCTTCCTTGTCTCCAGATCCTGCAAGTCTTGGTTCTTTGCCTCGAGCTGAGTTGCCAGTGCTGCCACAATCTTCCCCAATGGCTCCCTCTGACTCTTGGTAATCTCATCTATGGTCTTAATGTCAATATGCTTCCTCAAGTATCTTCCCACCAAACCCTCAGCAGTGTAGTCCACCTCTCGGGCAACCCAACCATAAACCTTAACCTCACCATTCTCGTTCTCCTCACCGTCCACAGCACCTCCACAACTGCTCCATGCCTCCCATTCCTTCTTCCCGAGCTTATTTACACTGAATTGGTTCTCAAGTGCGAGAGCGTCACTAAACCCACCCCAGCCAGGACTAAACCGCACAATTGCAAAGCATTCCGAGTTTTCTGTGTCATCGAAAACTAAAGGCACGATGTCTTCTGGACTAAACATGGCCACTCTATCTGCAAAGCTTTCAGCATTGAACCCTGCACCGGCTGCAAGAATTCCACACCATGGCCAAGCAAACTTCTCTTCGCCATCCTGTGGTGGTCCCTTATCCACTGCCACGGGACTGGATCCACTGGTGTGGCCATTGGCAATGGCCTTTCCTTTGTCAGAGGCATCTGCATTAGCAGTGGCAGATGGAGTGGCACCCGGAATCCCAACGATAGTGGAGAGCTCCTGCGCAAAGGACGGGTCGGCGCGGACAAAGCGGGCAAAGGCACGGTGGAAGGCACGCTCCCGGCCGTGGCGGCGGTGCTTGCTGGAGATGCCGATGCCGTCGGCGTGCTGGAGGAGGTCCTTGAGCTTGTAGTCTTGCTTCTTCTTGCCGGGGCAGAAGGGGCAGCGGAAGGTGCCGTCCGGGTTGCGCACCCGGTGTTTGCCGGACTTGAGAAGGCCGTAGGACTTCTCCTCGTAGTCGCTCTCGGCCTCCGAGTCGTCCTCGCCGTCCGACTCCTCGTCCGCGGATGCGGCGACTGGGCCGGTCACGCCGGCGGCCTCCGCGGCGGCCTCGGCCTCGGCCTCCTCGTAGGGGTCCATGTAGTCGTCCATGTCGAGATCCATTGTCGGATCAGAGATTCAGCTACAGACTGGCAGGATTTGAGGTGGGAAATCAGTAAGATTGGAGTGAAATCATCGAAAGAGGAACGAAAAGACTCACCTTTCCTGCCCACAACCCGGACCAGAAATCTATCCAGATTCCAGAATGGCACGACGCTGGATCAAATGGGACGTCGAGAGCCTCAGAGTGGATCAATCGCACCGGACGAGGCTCCCTTGGCCGGATTTGCGGTGGCAAGGAGCGGAATCGCCGAGAGGAGCAAGGGATTTAAGGACATGCCAACTGCATTTGCAGGGTTTTTGGCCTTTTGGGGGCGCACCTGACCGGAGGCAATGCCAGTAGTGACGCGGAGGAAGGACGAGGTGCGTGCCCCCACCAGTCAGTCGCGTGGCACTGTCCTTCGATTTCGTGCAGATTTTCTGCGCACACGGCGCACGGCTTGCAATACGTAAGCGGAGACAGTACGTACTAGGGTTGATTTGACTGATTTGCCCTGGCTCTCGAAACAATTTTAGAAATAATTTAGCAAGTGTAACTACGGCCAATAAAATGTATTCCACCTATTTTTAGGATGCCTTTGCCCGTGCCGTTGCCACTTCTTTATTAGAGGTAAATACACCTGTAGTCTTAGAACTTGCGCGTGACGATCAGTTTGATGCACAAACTTGTATAATACGTGATTTCAGTCATCAAACTTGCGAGGGCGTGCAAATACGGTCCCAATTCCTGTACGCGGGTGTATCCGCTCCATGTGTGGCAGGCCAGATTGGCAAGGGCCCACATGTCAACGACAGGGAGCAGGGAGGCGTTGGCTGAGCTGTGCATGATCTTTTTTGTAGAAAAGACCCTCAACTTTTATTTAAATATGCATAAAAGCTGGTGAACTACGGTGACAAACTGGTGGGTGCCACCTAATCAACGAACAGTGTAAATGAATTTAGATTGTTGTATTTTTTTTGTGTAGAGGTGATCAACTTGACCCTCAGAAAGAATTTGGACACATCATAACTGCACAACTTTCTAGCCCTCTCATGCCATCAGCTTCCGTGACCGTTTGATCGTCAATTTTAAGCATTTCTGGCGTCGGATTTGCTGTGAATCGCTCCTAATCCGCCTCCGTTCGCTAATAAGGATCGCTAATCATCGCGGGTCGGTGCTCCAGTCGCTCTTTTGGTCGTCTGAAAGGATCGATATGGTTGACTAGAGGGGGGGGGGTGAATAGGCAACTAACAATTTTTAGCTTTTCATTACCAAATTAAACTTTGCATCAAAGTAGGTTGTCTAGATATGCAACTAGGTGAACAACCTATATGATGTGACAACAACAAGTACACGAGCAAGTAAGGGAAACAACACAAGTAAGCTTGCAAAAGTAAAGGCGCGAGATAACCAAGAGTGGAGTCGGTGGAGACGAGGATGTGTTACCGAAGTTCCTTCCTTTTGAGGGGAAGTACGTCTCCGTTGGAGCGGTGTGGAGGCACAATGCTCCCCAAGAAGCCACTAGGGCTACCGTATTCTCCTCACGCCCTCACACAATGCGAGATGTCGTGATTCCACTATTGGTGCCCTTGAAGGCGCCGACCGAACCTTTACAAACAAGGCTGGGGCAATCTCCACAACAATTGGAGGCTCCCAACAACACCACGAAGCTTCACCACAATGGAGTATGGCTTCGAGGTGACCTCAACCGTCTAGCGTGCTCAAACACCCAAGAGTAACAAGATCCGCTAGGGATAAGAGGGGGAATCAAATTTCTCTTGGTGGAAGTGTAGATCGGGGCCTTCTCAACCAATCCCGAGCAAATCAACAAGTTTGATTGGCTAGGGAGAGAGATCGGGCGAAAATGGAGCTTGGAGCAACAATGGAGCTTTTGGGGGAAGAGGTGGGTCAACTATGGGGAAGAAGACACCTTTATATAGTGGGGGAAACAATCCAACCGTTACCCCCCCCAAACAGCCACGCACAGAGCGGTACTACCGCTTGGGCAGGACGGTACTACCGGTGATAACCGGTACTACCGCTCCCTTCCAGCGGTACTGCCGTACTGACGAGGGATGCAGGGTCCTGGCCCCAGAGCGGTACTACCGCGGAAGTATTGGCGGTACTACCGCTTGGAGCGGTACTACCGCCACTACTGCCGCTACTAGTACCGTAAAACTCGACACGTAAAACAGCGGTCTCGAGTCGAGGCGGTAGTAGCCCGGAACCACTGCGGTACTACGGCCGAAGACCTCAAGCAGTACTACCGCTCGGGGAGCGGTACTACCGCTTGACGTGCTTCGGCGGTACTATCGTTGAGGACCGCGGTACTACTGCTGGGACAGGACAGGGCAGGCACAGATAGGAAAGGTAGCTCCAATGAAGCGGAAAGAAACATCGGGTGTGATAAGGATGTGTACGTGTTGATTCCACCCTAGCCTTACCAAAGCGGATCCCCTCTTGATAGTATGGTGGCTCCTACGAAACTAGTCCACCAACAGAGAAACGAAGGAACTACACCGTCTTGAATAAAACACCGAGGGAAGGTAATCGTCTCGTGCCAAAGGATGAATCTCTGAAAGAACTCAACACACACGATTAGTCCGCAAAAGCATTGTCATCAATCACCAAAACATCTTGGGGATAAATATGCCCTTACAATCTCCCCCTTTTTTGGTGGATTGATGCAATAGGGGATTTGCACAAACAGGAAAGATATAGGATAAGCGCAAAAACCCCACCGTCCTAAAATGTAGATGGGCTCCCCCTAGATGTGTGCTATCTAGATAAGTGCTTTGGACCACACGGCACACATAGGATCAACGCTCCCCCTAAATTTTAGAGACCAACCACCTAAGCAGGGTATATAAGAGCAACATAGATAACAGGATAAGCATGCAACTCATAAGCTAGATAGTGACATAGATAATGATACTCGAAAGATAAGGTAGCACATGTCTCACACCATATGACTGGAAATTAGGTCTCACTGACACAAACCAAACAAAGCAAACTGCGAGAGAACACAAACACAGAAGACGGAAGACACAAAACACAAATCCCTAAACTCTCTCCCTCTTTGGCATCGAGACACCAAAAAGGAGAGGGAGTGTTGCTACGGCTCCAGGTGATAGCAGGAGAGGGACTCAAATATCATATCTCAGCGGGATTGTCTGCGCCACCGTCGTCGGTCGGGAAGTGCTCGACATCAGAATCAGTCCACGGGCAGTGCTGCTGAATCCACTCCTCCTCCTCAGTAAGCTGGTCCTCAGATCCACTGTTAACGGTGGCACCCAACTGACGTATGAGCTCCTTGTGACGACCTCGGGCCTTCTTCTCAGCCACATGAGTCATGTACTGACCGTGAGACTTCATGCAGAACAGCTTCTCCATCTTGAGCTTGAGCTTCTTTGCCCAAGAGGGCTCTGCCGCAGAAGGCACATAGTCATCATCATCATCCTCAGCCTCAACCTCAGCGTCCCCCTCGGTCTCCATGGCAGTAGAAGATGAGGGACCTCCAGATTTAGGGACCTGAGTGCCCCAGTTGTCCTTCCTCAGACGCTTGATGTCGTGAGAAACCAACTCTCCAGTCTCTAGCATCACCTTGGGATAGACACGATCCCAGGCCTTCTCAATAAGCAGCATGATGAACGGACCATAAATTGGGCATTTGCACTCAGAGATAGCAGATAAAAGCTCATGTCGGATTTCGGGTTCCGGCAGACCATTGAGGTTCGAACACTGGGGTGCGCGCGGAGATTTAACCCTCTACCGGCTTGCTCCTCGCCGAATCGCTAGGATCTAAACTACCAAACAGAACAACACAAGACACACAAGATTTATACTGGTTCAGGCCACCATTGTGGTGTAATACCCTACTCCAGTGTGTGGTGTGGTGGATTGCCTCTTAGGCTGATGATGAACAATACAAGGAAGAACAGCCTTGCGAGGGTCTGTTCTTGGCTGGTGCGACAAACTGCTAGGAGGAGTTCGATCGCTCTATCTACTGATTTCTTGGAGAGGATCCAGGTTGCTAGGTCCGGTCCAGATTGCCTCTACCCTGGGGGTGGCTAGTCCTATTTATAGGCAAAGGCCCTGGGCCTCTTCCCAAATATTGAGCGGGAAGGGCGCCAATAATTGGCCATTTTGAAGGGGAACAACGGGTACACTTATCCTGACTAAAGTTGGTCCTCTCCTGTCAAAGGCTCTGGTGGTGACGCCTGCTTGGGCTCCACCGACTTCTGTCCTGCCGTTGGGCTGGTCTTGGTCTTGTTGCACCGAAATGGATGCCTTTGCTTGATGCTCTCGCCTGCGCTTGCCCCCTTTGCACCAAAGAGAAAGGGAGGACACTGCGCGGGCTGGCGCCCGACTGGCGCCCTTGGTCGTCATGGCTTGCGTCATGGGCACCTCGCGAGGTACCCTGCCTTGAACTCTCCGCCTCCTCGTGAGCCAGCCTGACGAGGCCGTGCCTGAGGAAGCTCCTTGTCGTCCGTCCCGCGAGGCTTGGCCCCTCGCGAGGGTCTTGAGCTTGTGTTGATGAAGATGGGCTGTGCTGGGCCTCCTTTGAGCCACTCCGCAGGCCGTAGGCAGGCAAGTCTGGGGACCCCCGTTCCCAGAACACCGATAGTAGCCCCCGGGCCCACGGCGCGCCCGGACTTGGCCGAGTGGAGAGGCGAAAGGGCAAGCGTGAAGCGTCGCGGGCCCTAACAGCTTGCGGCTTCGGGTGCCGCGTGGCGGTTGATTGGACGTGGGCGCCTCTGCAACTGCGCGAGTTGGTGAAGGAGCGGCACCTGCCCCTTGCCTCCCTTGCTTTCTTCAGTTGCTGCTCAGATCCCCTTTCTTGCGCCTCTCCTCCCCGCCTCCGAAATCTTCAGATCTGCTCCATCCGCGTGCCCTAGCCAGATATGGCGCCTCGCCAAGCCCCGGTCGGAGCCTGGTACTCGTCTGCCTTGGACTCGCCGAACGTGTCAGAGGCGAGCCTTTCTCAGGTGCGCCAGATGGCGGCGGCGCAGGGCATCGACGG